TTGTTTGCTTTGGTTTACTGAGGAAAAACCTCCACTTTGTTACTGCAACCCTACAGCATGCCGAGACTGCCACTAAGAGCAATATGTCTTAAAAGGCAGGGGAGCCTGACAGATAAAGGCATCGCCCACCATCACTACCTCATATAGGCTGGTATGAGTGTAATTTTACAGGCAGTACTCATTTGGGCGCAACCTTTCTCTCTTCACGCTGTGGTGGACTGAAGGAAAACATCAGAAGCTGCTTGTACTATGCCCTAGTGGATTGGAGGTTTCTGGCTTCACAGGCTTATTTGAGCTGTAAGACACAATCTTTCTGCAGCTTTACTTTTGAAAACTTTGTGCTATTTATCCTTTCAAGCATTACCTCCCTGAAAATACGCGTATATGTAAAATGAGATGGTAGCATGAGGGCCACAGCCTCAAGTCTCCCTCTAGTCTTCTCAAAGGCTGTCAGAAGCTCTAAAGGTTCTCCTTCAAGGATGTTCCTGTCTCTGCTACCAAGTCCAAATGGGTTGGGACCAAACATGATTTTTTTATTATTTTTTAATCAAGATCATCATTATCCCATCCTTCCTATCAGCAGTCAAGCAGCACTTCAGCAGCACTGAAGCAGGACAAACAACGTGAAGCCAACTTCAGTTCTGAGGACTTCACTCCAAACCCATTCTCCAAGGACCAAAGAGTCTCTTCTGAGATCCAGATTACCCAGCTCCAGTTTGCAGGTAGCGCACCCATCCAGCAATAGGATGATTAAATGCAGCCTATGTTCCAACACCATGCTCAGTACAGTCCACTCTCCGTCTTGGTTTAGCCTGTTTGGATTTGAACTGACGTGCCTGGAGACTCAGACTTCCTTTTCCATAATATCATCAGCAATCATGTCAGTGCCTGTGGCTGTTGTGCTAGGATGGAGAAAATAAACTTCCCCATCCTAGCACAAATGTTTCGATGTTAAGGCCAGGGGAACTTACTGATATCTTTGTGTCTGACATCTAGAACAACGTGGACTGTAAGATTATGCTAGGTAATTCATACTTCAAGTACAATAGTTGTGGTTGAACAACAACCACAATAAATACGCAATCATGGAAAATCTACCACAGTTCTTAGTAAGTTGTTCCAATGGTTAATTACCCTCGCTGTTAAAAAAGTACACCTGGATTTCAGTCTGAAGCTGTGTAGCTTCAGCTCCTAGCTAACACATGCCAATGCACCTATGTCTACTGAACTACACAAACCCTTATACTGCATTACAGATGCTCTTTAGGTATCTTTAGACTGTGACAAACAGCTTGTTTGAAGGAAAAAGAAGTGGAATTCCCCTCACATCTTTTGCTATCTTGAGTTTTTTTTTTTTTTTTTTTTTGTCTGTTTGTTTCTTTTCAGTCTTTCAGTTGCCTTTGTAACTTTCCTCTGAACCTTCTCTAGTTTTTCTTACTATCCCTCATGAAACAAGTTGTGGATCTTGCTGAGCTGTAAGTGGTTCTCGCAATGTTCACAGAACTAAACTACCTCCTTAGGTTTTGTTCTGAATACTTCTAAATGTTTTCATGAAATCCTTCCAGGCTGCCCTGTATTTTGACCAACCCTACAAGTTACAGCAGCACTTCCAGATCACTAAGATCAAAGTCATGCTAAGTGACATTAAAATGAAGCAACAAGACCTTGAATTCCCACATTAAAATAAAATTAGAAAGAAACAGTCTAATGGCAAGATCAGTGAGCAGAATGATCTTCCCCCTGCTCCCATTTCTTTATGTGGGTGAAAGCTTTCACAGTTGATTTGAGACAGTGGCTATCAGCTGCTGTTTAAGTTTTACCTCTGTTCTTTCTACCTGCCACTCAAATGGCCTGAGGAGATACAACACATTCAAGACCAACTTCCCGTTTTAATCAGAAAGCAAGCAAGTCTACATACACATGGCTTGTTTCAGCCCAAAATGCTGACCAGCCAAGCAGAGTCAGCAGAACTGTCGGGCCCTAGAAATAAGGGCTAAGTTTGCAGCTGTGATAGACTTGTAACGGCACCTTACAGAAGGGCCAGCACTTTTGTAACAGAATGCATTTCAAACCTTTGCTTTCCAGCGGAAGCAAACAGACCTGGCTCAGATTACTTTGTGGTAGAGCCTCACCATCTTAAAATTAGCAATATAACCTATCTGCCTGCTTAGAGTATCATAACTGCAAAGCACAGCTCAAGAGGTTTTGTCTCTTTACTCCTATTAAGTCTTCCGTTGTTTTAGCAGCTCTCTCACCTAACTCAGTCACGTTCTGGAGGTTACTTTATGGCCTAAAACAGAACAAATGAAACCCTGTCCTTGCCTCTTAAGCAGAAGAACTACCATGGTCTGCCTGCATGAGACATCTTTGCTCAAGGAAGGAAGAGAGTCAGAAGAGCTTCACCACACCCCCAAACCCCGTCTTTCCCCATACACAGTGCCACTGCTCTCAGAGCATTAATAAAGCAGGTGTTGAAAGAGAGGCTCAGCCTGAGGCATGCTCAGCAGTACACTTGTCGCTTGACCCACCTCCTCATCCCAAAGATTAATTAGGCCTAGCCCCTCCCTATTAAGTTGCCTCTTAGGCACGTTGCTTAGCCTTTCTCCTTTGCCTCTGGCGGATTCACTCACTAACTTTTTATTTCAATATTCACGTTTTCCAGTCTGTAAAGCCCTCCACTGATTTTCCTTCCCTAGGCTGCCCCAAGGACCATGCTCCATTAAGGGGACATGGGGGAGGAAGGGTGTCTTGAGGGAGAAGGAGCACAGTTGTGGCAGGATGGGGGGCTTCCAGACCCTGTTTTCTAATTCTTCCCCACAACACAGTCCTGGGTGAAAGGCACTAGCTGGGCTGAGAGACAGCCCCACTTCTTCTCATCTCCAGAAGAAGCCCTCTCACTGCTAGATGCTTGTTTGAGAGATGCAAGTTCAGAGGTCCTTGTGCAGTGGCAGGGTTGGCACCCAGCAGCCCCCCAGCCTGGGCAGGGGGTGAGGGTGACATATAGGGACAAAGGTGTGGTATTTGTCTCCAGAAAAGCCCTCTGTAGTCTGAACCCTGACTAGGAAAGGGGGAAGGTCTAAGGACTAAACCTCCCTCACTTCCTACAAGCTAGCTGGCATGGCCCTGTGCTTAGCATGTTAGCTACTGTCATGCCTTGTCTTATGTGCCTTGCTCTTTTTGTGCAGCATCTGTGGAGCTCAGCTACCTTGCTTGGTGCTGAGGAGTTGCTTTCAGCCCTGCAATTCCTTGGCTGGGTTTTAACTTGTGCCCATGTCCACATGCCCTGTTCGTTTATGCCATCTGGATAGACTGGAAGCTCTTCGGGGCAATGCCTATCTTTTGCCACATGCATACAGCAATATGTTCAGTGGGGCCTTAATTAAGGTCTCTAGATGCTGTTGTAATATAAAAAATAAATATTGATTAGCAGGATCAGCAGATCCACATACCAGACATATTGCAAGACACACCCCCGCTGTGCTTGCACATGCTGATACGTAAATGTGCCTGCAATGGTTAATACCACTGTATATTTGGCTCGTCTGTGCACTGTATGTTTTTCATGTATTATCCTTTTCTTTCATAATCAGATGTCACTTAATATCCTGACTAAGAACATTCTGTAACACAGTAGCACGAGTTTGGACAGAATCATGAAATTATCTTTGAAATGTAACATAGATGGAAAGATCAGATGACAAGTCTCTTCCATTTCTTTTAACTTTCTACTGTGGCTACCTGTGTTTTAAAATCCTAAACCATCAACGGGCTCATTCTTCATGTTGGTGATGAACTAAGTCATACTCACAGCTATCTGATTTTTGTACATGGATTGCACATTCCAGAGAAAATCCATAATGGAAAACATAATTGCAGTAACAAGCACCCTACAGGGATGCAAAATTCCTCAGGAGGATTGTTGGGGGTTAATAGGGCTCTTCTTTGCACAGTTCTATATAGCCATTCCTATTCATATTGACTGAGCACTAGAGGAAAAGTAATAAAATTACCAGCTAAAGCCCAAGTTCCTGCCTATTCAGTATACCACACTAACTTCTAAAGACAGAGCTCTGATTGTATGGCTGAGCTAAACAGGATGGCTGTTTTTAACACCATCCTAGCTTATGGTAACCATTAACTACAACCTGACTTCCCATTACAACATACCACTGTGAACACCTATTAGTAGCTAATTGAATCATCTAAAAGTGGTCATAATTCAGACCTCCGTTCATATTTTTGTAATGTTTCTTATGGCTGTTACTATAGTACAGGAGAAGATGCAAATCAAGGTTCTGTTTAAGTGTTCATAGCAGAACGGGAGTTTAAATGGAAATCAAATGGAGTGACAAAGGGGAATAAAGCCACATTGTATTTTTGATGTTACCCATGAGACATGATAGGAGAAACTAACAACAGGCTAACAAGGCTCCCTATCTCTAAACATTTTCCAGCTGTGAGCCACTGAAGAGCCAAAAGACCTCTCTGAGTCAACACCAACAAATGCACATACGTCGTAATTTTCTGCGATTGCTATTTATAATCTCAAGGCTATACAGCATTTTCATTCTCCTTTATATTTAAAGAAATAAAAGTATTTTGTCTTGGAGGCATCATGAGTTGTTTTTCAGATCACTGTATCCTGAAGCTTTCCATTTTATTGTAGCGTTTTGGCATTTGTTTTGTATTGTTTTTTAAATATGAGTGTGTTTTTATTATAATATGAAAGGCAAGGCACTGTTGTTGCTGGGTTTGTGCATATTTGCTGCCATGGTTTTTTAATTTGACTTACAGCCTGATATCATAAAGCATTTTCATCAAACCTGTGGAAAATGCGTGTTACTTTGGGTAGAAATAGGGCTACTTCAAATTAGCATAAATTAGCTTAAACAAAAAGACAGTTTAAACAAGCTACTCAAACTGAAAGAATACACTTCACTGATTTCAACAGAACTGTCAAGAGCAGATAATAAAGATAGCACACCTCAGGTGGATGTTACCTGAGCAAAAAGGTCCTCTGCCTTCTGCTGAGTCACAGCAATACAATGCTTCCAGGCCATTGCAACACAAAGTAAGGTGTGATTGCTCAAAACTTACTCAAGGTGTCATTGAGGTTTGTATCAGTTACGCAGATCCATACTGGAAGAAAAGAAAAAGAAATGTTTAGGCAAAACTTCTGCACCTCCCTCCCAAAGTGAAAGACATAGCCACTGTTGAATCTGTCTAATGTAGTTATCTATTTGCACGAGGAGGTATGAATTTCCTCGATATACTTGTGAAGGGGTGCAGACCCACTGCACCCAATTTCCACATTATCTAGCCCGGAAAAGGGCTCTTTAGACCTGCAGGTTTGGCCATGGGACCCAATGCCCAGTCACACCCATCCTATTGCGTGGGCCTTTCAGGTTTATTAAAGAAGCCAGAAGCTCATGCCCTCTACCAACATCCAGTGTGGACTACTGCCAGGTTTGAATAACCACCATTTTTCAACTGATACCACAAGAGGTTTAAATCACCTGCTGCTCAGAATGTTCCCCACGGGATTATCACAAAGCATTTTGATGGAGAGAGACCAGTGGATTGCCTCCCCAGTGAATATACAATAATAAGGATGTGTTTTACATAGGAGATGGGAATTCTTCCCTGCAGATACACATGTGCAGCCCTGCTGGCTTTCTTGGAAGCCACATACATACTTCTGAACAAACAAACAACCACCGCATCACTTCTCCCTGGATAAAAGATTGTGCTAGCTTTCTCCCACGAGCTTATTAACGTGCCAGAAACAAGCAAATAAATCCTTAATTAGGCAATCCAAACAACAACAGTTTTAATGTCCAGCACCCAGAACTTTGATTCAATCCTCACTTCAAGCACTATGAAATCTGTGTTTGTTAAAACCTTCAGAAATTTCTGGAACAAGTAGCAATGGGAAGGTAATGGCTGGGCACATCATAAGGCAACTGCCCTCTGGCTGCTAGATGGGCTCACAGATGTGTGTGCATCTCTCCTGGGGTTTGGGAAGCCCCTAATGCCCTTGTAACCACCAGAGCTCCAAGAGGTTCTTCCTCTGCTCAAGCTGGGGGGACTCTATCTCACTGGAAAGCTGTTGACCATCCTGTGTGAGCATGGAGACATCTGTGCTGCACACCAAGGACGTGGTAGTATGTCCGGCACTGGGCTATCAGGGACACAGCAGCAGCTCAGAGGGATGTGTCAGAGTGGCCTGTTTGCCCTATAAAGGCTCTTGGCATTGAGAAGAATGTCCTTGTCTCATTACCTGGGCTGTAATGAGCTATCAATATTCACAATTTTTATTTCAGCATGAATGCTAAAAATAATAATAATAATCTCCCAAAGACAGGAAATCAAGGCCAGTTAGTAGATTGTGTGCCTGTCGCACTTTCATTCAGCCCCCATCCCATGGAAGAAAGGAAATTAAAATTCCTTTTTTTTTTTTTTTTTTTTTTAATTCTCAACTTTGACCCACTAAGCTTGAAGGTCACGACCTCCATTTGGGAAAAGCTGCACTTTCTCCTCTTCCCCAGCTCACACACACACACACTTCATGAAAACATTACCCTAATGACCACTGACAAAACAATGCCTGAAGGAATGTGTCAAATATAAGCATCCAAATAAGACAGCCAACAAAACATGCTTGTCTCTTAATTTAAATTCCAAACACAGGTTAGTATCAAAAAACTGTCCCAAAAAGCTGTACATTTTTTACTAGACAACCAGTTCATCCTTAAATAAATTGACTGAAAATGGCTAGAAATTAAATAAAATAGCAGCACCTGAGAGCAACCATTAATTCTGGGTTCTTTCCTTCCCAGGCCTTAATTTGTATTTCTTCCCCTTAACTTAATACCTGCAATTTTCCTCCCTTTTCTAAATGTTATCTTTAGTTATTTCTTTACCTCTCCTTTTCCATATTTTCTTGATTTTCCTCTCGCTTTCTGTGGAACCTAACTCAGGGTTCCCCATGGAGCTCCTTCACAGTCAAAAGTCTCTTAGTTAGGGAAACCTTCCATATCATCACGTTTGTCAGTGCAGTTTCTCCAGCTTTCATTATACCCTTGGGCTAAGGACCATGTGAGCCCTGGGTCTGGGGAAAGGAAGTTTGCTCTTCCTGCCGTCCATGACAGCTGTCTTCAAGCATCCCAGCTGGATTTCTTGAACCCAGAATGGGAAAACTCCAGTTTAGGCTCTGTCCATAGGCAAATTTCTTTTACCTCTCAGATGTGCCATGCTCTTTGAAATTTCTGCTCCTGGGTCCTTTACTGAGGCTCTGGTTAATATCATCAGAGAGCTGCTCCTTACTGGGAGGCAGCAACTAATGGGGATGTACCCCATGCTCAACCCTGGCACATCCAGATACAACATGAGCTTGATGTAAGTAGGGGTCCCACATCCTGATGTGTTTCATCATTCTCTTTCTACATCTGTATGTAGCTGCTCTTCCTACTCCGAAAAGGTGCAAAATGTTAGAGTTCACCAAAACTCATTCCATAATATTTACTGGCTGGCCACATTCACTGCTGATGGTACAGCGGAAGGATTTTTCTAGCACCTAACTTGACTTTAGCTTGTCCTATTCTCTCTTTATCTACATTTTTATTTAGTGTAATTCAGGTTATCACCCTCCTCCCAGTCATGAAACACCAAGTTTGCTATCCAAGAAAATACCCACCAATCCACAAAAAGCCACGGCCACGTGGCATTACACACGCTGAGAATGTCTTCATGCCAGTCCCAGCAGGGACTGCATGCAGGTGCAAGCCAAACTCATTGGTCCTTTGGTCCTTTTCACCACAACGCATTAAATCTCAGGATCCCTTAATGCTCCCACCCAGGCTCGCAGCAGGCACGTCTGAAGAGACATGCGTTCAAGCATCTCGTAGTGCTGGCGAGGCACTTAGTTAAGCGTTCCCCTTTTGGGCCTCACTTTTGCTACTATGCACATTAATGCTCAAGGCTATGCAGCTGCACTCCAGTTCATGCAGGATCAGGTTCCCCTGCCCTCTTTCTCCTGGCTTAGCACTTATTTCTCTTTTTTTTTTTTCCCTATACTCATGCATGCAACACTTCAGAGACAGCAGTGCGCCATTAAGCTCAGAAAGAACATGCATGAGCACTTCATAGCTCTCCACGCAGCCTTTTTGCCAGCCCTTCCCTTCAAAGAGCCTGCTCCAAAAGCTGACTGAAGCCAGCAAAAGTCTCCCCATCGGCCTTGGAGCGGGCCCAAAGCAAGGGACACAATTAGACGGGAACGGAGGCACTAACGAAAGGCAGCTTGCCTGCCAGCAGGCAAAACACAGGGAGACCCACAAGGAGAAAGCCATGTTTGAGGGCCAAGCTTACAATCCTTTTTGAGATGAGCCTCTCTGCAGTGGAAGCCCTGCCAAGCAGCCTGTGTTCTTCGTGACTTCCACTCGAGCAGCATGCTGAGGCACTTGGCGGCGGCTTTGAACTGCGAGGCGAAGACAGGGCGCGGGCACTGCCTTGCTTTTTTAATCTGTCAGATTTATCTGCTTAATATATATTTTATTGTCTTGTTTATTCTTTTTACGAGTCTTATTATTACAAAGCAGTATTTTTTAAATGGCAGTGGAAAATATGCCAATTGAAGATGTTTGGGAGGGTCAAAAAGAAACCCCAAATAAAAGCCCATATACAAATTGGGGTGGTGGGGGGGGCACATCTATTGTTCTTCTCGTTCCCCTTTTTCTTCTGCATGTACCAGAGAGCCAGGAGGAGATGTCTCAGAGCAATTCTCTCCAGCCCTCTCCCAATAAATAGGACAATACAAGAGTCTTCACAGCCCAACAGTTCCTACTGCCTGTTACTCAATAACTTGCAAACACATACTGTGTTAGCACCACCCAGCATGAAATAAAGTCCACGCTCAATGCAAATTGTTCCTGGCTCTCCATTTTTCATACTGTTCCTTCTCCAAAATAACCTCACTTTAACAACTTATCTATCTAATGTAGATCTCGGTGCTTTCTACTCACATTAACATCAGTTGCAATGAATACAAATGTATTATCTCAGCCAAAAGAAAATCCAGCAGATCCTTTTATCAGAGTTGTAAGATGATATGTTTGGATGAAGCGTCTAGCAGGGTCCTGCCAGAGCTCTGGTTTGTTTAACATTTTCAGCAGTTATCTAGAAGCAGAAGTAGAAAAAAACATTAATTATGTTCACATTTGACACCAAGACTGGGGAAGGGGAGGGAAAACTAGAAGTTTACAGGGAAAATGTAAATCAGTTTACGAGGATTTGAGAATTAGACAAGCATTATTTAAATGTTGCAAATTTATAATTATAATATGTCAGCAAGCAGACTGGCTTCTTATCACATCTGGATAACCCAACGATACCATGGAAGATACTTTGCACAGAAGAACAATGGTAATATATTGGACCCCCAATTGGATTATCCATTCTTTACACAGTATTTTAAATGCTGTATAAATTAATAGAGGCATGGAGATCTCAGCAGAAGAAAAGACCTACCACCAAAGAGGAAAACAACAGAGATAAAAGTTGTTTGAGAAAAACTCAAACAACTGCTGCATGTGCAGTTTGCCCCTATAACCCAATGAGAAGAGTGAAATTCAGCTACTTAATGATCACAGATCATCTGCACAGCTCTGTCTTAAGTGCCATATGTAAAGTATAGCTTATTGCAACCCAGATTTGTCTACATGTGAAATGACAAAACATGTGCAAAAGAAGATGAGAGAGCTAGAAAAGAAGGAGAAGTTATGCAAGACAAGATAGCTCAGGAGTGTTAGTACATGACAGAAGAGTCCATAAGAATTACAGCCCGTGCTGCGTAGGTGCCGGATGCAGGATCAGTACTCCCTGCAGGAAAAGCTTTCCTCAACACTGTGAGCTGTTGCAAGGTCCCAGGGACCTGCAGCTGTTGTGAGTCACTGCCCAGCTGGGATAAACCCAGCACATCACTCTTTGGCATGCACAGGAAATGGACCCTGTCCCATACCCAGCTTGAAGGTCAGCAGACAGACTTCAGATGAATTGTCTGAACCATAAATTGCACACACAGCCTTGTTCTTACCCTGGTTGCAGCCTATTGCTCATTTCTGTCTCCCCACTACCAGCTCATAGCTCATTCCTTGTACTCAGCCTGGCTTCCTTGGCCTCTATTGCAGGTGGTGCTTGGTTAAGGACAACATACCATGGTGTGGACACCATAGTGGCTCCTGTCCCAAGCTCACTCCCCTTCCTCTCGGAGGAAGAGCTCACTTTGCTCTTCCTGCAGCCTTTCACAGATTCCCTGCCCCAGCACAACCCCCTGTGGACACCTTAGTCTTACCCCTTCTGCTCTTTGTGGCCACAAGACAAAAGAAATGACAATGCCTCTTTTCCTCCAAAATGTGCTCAGATCCTTGTCCCAGGCATTCACTTCATCCTGAACTGAGCACCACCTGGAAAACAGCACAGCTCTCAATACTACAGTGTTCTTTATCTTCCTGCCCCAAAGATACTCTGTACCATAAAAAATAGCAATGCAACTCTGACTAGATGATGAATGTATAAAAAAAATATGTCAAAACCTGAGCGCAGCCATGAGGGTGAACGCATGATACAAATGCCTCAGCACATTTTGGACAGAAGTCTTGAGCTCAGTTTCATCAGGTGAGTGTTCTAAAGAGCCTGTCCCAAGGTGCTTCAGTAGTCATGGAGCAGTCAAGCCTCCAACTTGGTATCATGAGGAAAATACTCCAGCTCTGCCATTGCATATAGGAACACCTCTAGGAATGAGCACATGGAAAACTCATTCCCTTTGTGGTTTTCCTTCTCATCATTCCATGAATCAGGCAGCATTTACAAGAATCTTAGGTCAGCAAATGCCAACTGAACACAGTGGAGATTTGGGCACTTCTATCTGCCCCTTATTAGTGAGTTCCCAAGACCTAGCATGGTAGAATTTGACCCCCATGTCCTACCTCCCTCTCCTCCAAGCTAACAGCATGAAAGCCCAGAATTTTTACTGACATATCCACAGAGCTAGCATGCACCATACTGAATTTCAGTATGACACACTCTGGGTTTCAGTTCAGTTCGTATCTATACCAGTAAACTTGGCCATTATTGCATCAGGAACATGCATCCAGGCCAGCTGGCAGGACACAGTTTGCTAGTGAACTAGTCTCCTAAACGAGGTGGCAGCAAGAAAACTGCCCACTGGGTATGGTCCCTGGCACACTCCAGTTGCCAGAACAGGCCTAAAAGTTGTTCAGAGCAAGTGTCAGTTGCAAAGGGCCATGCTCACGCCAGAGAATGTGCTCGCAGTTTACTAGCATAGACAATCATGTTCCAGGGCCAAGAAAGGCTGCCAGGCATGCTTGGATTTACTAGTACAGGCTCAGCCTCAGCATCTGTCTTTTTCCCATGTGAGTAATGATACAACAGCGTCCCAGAATGTGGCAACCACACAGCTAAAAAGGGATCAGATTGCATCCTTTGTGTAGGAAGGTGGAAAGGTATGTGCTGGATATTTCCTTCCCACTTGATCTCCCCACGGCGAGCTGAGCCAGATCAGTGTATTTATCTTTATCCAGTCTGCTCATGATAGGTAGGAAAGCACACCTGAATACCTTCTTCAGGGCAATCTCTTTGGTCCTAATGTTATTTCTGAAGTTTGCTAAGATTCTTCAAGAGCGCTTCACCCACAGGTACCTCTCAGTATAAACATATTATTCATAATAACATGCTTTGGCAAATAACATTCAGAATATGCTTCCCAGTCCACAACAAAGTTTAGAAGGATACTACTCTTGAATGCAGCTTTGGATATACATTTTAAGGGCAAAAGTCTTCCCTCTGAGGCCTATAGAGTTACATGTGGAATAAAATACATGACAGATAAGGATGGCTGCTCTGATTCTCCTCACTTTATTGTAAATCAGGAGTGATTCTTTCAATGTCAGATTGTCTTCCAGCATAAAACTTGTACCACAGGAGGAACAGTAGGTCAATAACTATGTCTGACTTTACCAACCATTCTGGCCAAATACCCATTTCCAGATGTGCTATCCACAAAGAGTGCAGTCTCCAGTCCCCTTACCTACACATCACTGCCAGCAGTTATTGTCCTCTCAGCTCTAGGAATTCCTCAGCCATCCTTAGCACATTGCACCAAAGTCTCTAAAATGGTTTAAATTGCAGAGCTAATCCATTTTGACTAAAATGCTTATGTAAATCTTCCAGGAGAGTGAGAGGGACCTTCAGAAGGTGGATAGCAAACCGCAGTTGAAAATAGCAACATCTTCAGCAGATGCCACTCTTTGCAGAGCATCCTAGTTATAAAAAACAGAGCAACAGCTTTAGAACATATGCCAAGCAAGGAATAAAGCGGGCTTGCTTTGTGCCAAAGGTAGACACTAAAAGACAAAGCAGACTGCATTAGGTACATTCCCTCCAGTTATATCTTCAGGGGGGAAATACAAACAAACAAAAGTGCATTGTTACTGGCCATCTCCAAACACAAACTCTGATTTATCCTCAGTGTTCGATTTTCACAGTCAAAGATCAAGTAGAAAAAAACAACAAGATCTAAGTCAGGGAGCAACTTCAGCTGGAAGGGATCTCCAGAGATCCCTTCTCCAAGTCCACACTCAAGACAGAGCCACCTCCTGCACCTTTGTGCCACCTGTGGGAGGACACAGAAAGGAGAGGAAAGGAACTGTGGTGCCAGGAGCCCATTCTCTCACCCTTATCCACTGCTACCTCCAGTATAACCAGAGTACATGGATAAAGGGAAGTCCCATGGTACTCCTGGTCAGTGAAATCCTCCAGCCCTGTTGAAGATGAAACACCTTGTGGTGCTGAAAGACAATTTGGTATCTGAAACAGAGTCATATTCACCATGTATTTCAGACTAACAAGGCATCAGTGAGATCACTGCCCAGACTGAAAGATTTGGGTTTGTCTGCTTGCTGCTGGCAAAGGTGGCAGGTGAGCAGGTACCTCGCTACTGGACACTTAACTGAGGGTAAAAAATCACCCTAAGACTTAAGACACCACCAAAAGCAGGCAATTCTTTATAACTACAGTCTATCCACCCTGACTTCTGAGCATCTCACAAACGTGACTACATTTGACCTCGCATTGCTCTCAAGAGAGGGGGAAGTATTATCAAAACCCAAGCACCAGAGCACAGATGAAGAACTAGTCTAAACTGAAGTCACGGCTCACTGTGGTAGGGTTGGACCTTCATAAATCCTTGGCATGGGTCTTCTGCCCCCGCAAACTCTTTTTAGATTTCAGACATAGGGGACAGCAGACAGGCAGGTGTGCCAGTGAGCTGCAGAGCGCTCTAACTTTGTCAGCCAAGCACCATCAGCAGAAAAAATGCCTCGACAAGTCAAGTGTGCTTTTTCAGGCTGTCAGATCCCAACCCACTTTGGGTTTCATGGGTCAAAAACAGGAGAAACAAATTGCAAGGCACTGGGTCAGCTGATACAAATGAGTACGGCTCCATTAACTTTTCACTAGGTACAACATGAGGAGACTTGAGCCAGTTGCAGGATAACCTACGAGTGGCTATGAAGTTAAAAAGCAATCTTATGTCATTAGTGGGTTGGTTTTTCTGTTTGTTTGTTTTTTTAAGCTGAAAATTATTTCCTCTTTTTCTTTTACTTCTGCTGTTTTTTACCTCAAAACAAATTGGACATACACTTTGAACTATCAGTCGAACAGTAAGTTCAAAGATGACAACACAGACAGGGCAATAGCTGAAGAGGTTCAGCCATGAACTCAAGTCCCAGGGGATTACTGAAAAAGGGCCGGACTTGAGAGCTGGCTGGTGCAAAGTGGCTTTGATCTTCTGAAGCCAATGACCTCCACCTTCAGAGGCTGTTCTTCCTCAAGCCTCCCATCGGCTGCTTGGGACATACTGCCAGGATCACAAAAAGTCCCCGAGCTTTTCTGGAGCTCAAAGGTAGCACCGAGCAAATGAGAAAATCCAAGGGGGGGGGGGAACATTCTCCTCTCTGCAAAACGCATGGAGGCCAAAGAAAGAGGGAATAAGCAGAGGGCTCCTTGTTCGTGGCCGACAAGGAGGTCTGAGAAGAGGTGGCCTCCAAGAGACACAAAATAGCTTGTGGCAACAGCTTGAGACCATCTTGCAACACT